TTGCTATCCAATCTTTCTTGATGTTCAAATCTGTTAAGATGTCACTTTTTCTGTTCTTGTCTCGTGTACTGTCATTCATTATTGATGCTCTTTTCACGCAATTATGCAACATCTCTATCTCGTTCCCTTTCTGTGTTCTTCCTTTCCCCGTTGTCTTGAGGTATCCAAGCTTTCCCCTCTCAGGGCGTCACCAAAGAATACATGTATGGTTATCACAGTCGACAAATGTACATGCCTGCTCAGTCCTCTGATACAGCAACAACCGAAAATATCTCTATTGACTCCTCCCCCCCCCCTCCCTCCACCCCATTTTTGTTGTCTCCCAAGTTGGCATCGAAAACGGCACCGCCGTGCTTAACCCCGCGTTCGTGCGATTGAAAGAATATAGACGTGCGCATATATTTTTTTCTTTCTTATTAAAAACAATATTGGTACTTACTACAGTGTTTATTACTGGAGAGTAATGACGGCGATGCGGGAGGCCTGAAAAGGTGCCGATACTGCGTACCGTTGCGTACTGCCCCAAAAATGGCCTGGGTGTTGGTTTTTTATTCTGAAAGAATACAGAATAACGATGTGGGTCTTCCGTTATCTTCGTGTGTTAATTTCTTTCAAGATATCTGCTATTTCAATTGTCTGACTATGGTGTTCTTAACAGCCTTTTATAATAAAAAATACATCGCATCTTAACTGTGAAGACGGCATATGTCTGACTGATTGATTGAAGGGTACATTTCGCAATTATAGTTATTCTCTATGTATTTGGAAGCCTTCGTGGGATAGCGGCTAGACGTGGGTTCAAATCCGCATAGTGCCGGATCTTTTTCAAACATAACCTTGGCTCCCTGGTCAACCCAGTCTTGAGTGGGTACCAGTTAGATTTATGGGAAGTAAAGGTGGCCGGCTCGAGGGTCGTTTCTTCTATAAAAATACGAGTCTGGCTTTATATGCCCGATGCGCCGCAGTCATTTGTACTTTTTATTTTATATAGGTAACGTAAAGATAACCTAACTCATACGCTCAGAGCTATTCCCCCCTTATGGATCTTGTGTGTCTGGCGGAGAGAAAAACCTGATTATCAGAAGTCATGGCGGCTACGTTCTAGGAAAGGGAAGAGAGTTGCGATAGTTCTGTTATCGACAACATTTGCAGTTTACAGTTTAAACAAATATTGCCGTCAGTTCCGTATTTGAATGTTGTAATATAATCTGTATTAAAATTCAATATCTAAGTATACATATTTTATTATAAGAAACTTAATTTTGTGCAGGGAATTTTTTCATAGGAAATCAATCAGGTGCCTGTGGTTGGTACCCACCAAAAGTCATAAATTAAAAGTGTACTGTTCAAACAAATCAAGAAAGGAAGGTGCCAATACTAAACACATAGTCTATTATTAGATTATAGTACTCAGAGGCACTGTTAAGTGAAAAATTAGTGCGTCAAAAAAGTGCCACGAGAGGGGGGAAAAGCCATGGGTTTGTCGTGTAACTGCAGATAAGTTAGAAAAGAAACTTCCTAAATTCGGTAAACTTTACATTTATTATGTTGGGACCTTTTTTTCACTAAAACTACCCACTATTTGACTACACCAGCTCTGAGCTGAGATGTCCTATTTTGTGGCAAACTTATTATATTCATTTTATACTGGAATCCATCTGCTGACTTTATCTACAGATTTTGCAGGCCTTTGCAGAGTTTGGAATTTCTTCTTTCTTCCCTACCATAAAAATTACAACTTGTATGGGTAATGGATAATTTTACTGGATTTAACCTTATCAATGATAAAAAATACATCGTTCTTCCTGCTGCTGCTGAATTTCATCTCCTAATCGAACATAGTACATAACTCACTCCATAGTTTACAAAATGCTACTGAACTAATGTATTACATAGGCCTACTGCACATTTTTAGAACACAACAAATATTATATAGCCAAAGCTCTGTTACATATTTATAGAACTCCTCTTGTGTGTTCTAAGGCCTCATTGGGACAGAAAACAAGAACTGATCCACTGCCTCCCCAACAAGCATGTCATAAGAGTAGAATAATTGTAGGCTATCTTCAGAGTCGGAGTGCATATGCCTGAAAGGTAAGGAACTAACAGTCTCCATGCAGAAAAAATAGATCTGTAAAACAGATGTGCATGCAACACTCAGGTTCTTAAACAAGACTGGAGTCCAGAGGTAGATGAACAACCAAAACTTTCCCCCGTAGTTTACAGCCGGTGAATGAGAAGAATAAATGGCTCTCCTTTAAATAACGGTCGCTAGCTGGAAAGCCGACGGTCACTTAGTCGAAGTGCGCTCCCTTGGCTGCATTGCAAATACGGAGAGGAAAAGTCACGAATCAAAAACAAGGTCAACATGGCAGTTAGACATCGAGCTCCGACTCACATTAGCAACCACGTTCTTGCGACGCACGAATTAGTTGCCACGGATGTGACTCCTGCAGATCTGTATGCCTTAATGACCAATAAGTTTGCGTGGTTAGGGTGAGGTTTGGGTTAGGGGTAGATGTGAAAATTTTGATGCAGGAGTTCCAAACAGTGACATACACACCCAAACAATTGAAGGACTGTGGATACTACTCAAACGGACAGTTCGCCATCAATTGGGCACCAGCCGCACGCTATTGCCGTCATATTTAGGGGAATTCCAGTGGCACTACTCCCACAAGCATCAGATTGTCAGCCAGTATTTGGAACTCCTGCGTCAAAATTGTCACATCTAACCCTAACCCACACCCTATCCTACACCCTACGCAACCGTATGATGACAGGTAAGTATGTCATTTGTTTCATTTCCTCTTTACGCTCCGTATTTGCAATGCAGCCAAGGGAGCGCACTCCGACTAAGCGCCGCCAGCATTCCAGCTAGTGACCGTTATTTAAAGAAGAGCCGAATAAATATAGAATTATTTTTAGAATACACAGTTTATTACATAGCACTCATATTTGTAAATTTGTAGAACTATACACAGTAGTGTTTGAACACACAATATTATTTTGCATCTTAAGAAGATTATGTTTATTCAACGGATCAACATCATGGCACACAAGTGTAACCCATAAGTGCTCCATTCTTCTTCTAGCTTAGCCTAACGCTGAAGAATCTTAGCACAGTGCACGAACTCTGTTACACCGGAGAGGATCCAGAAATACTCTCTTGGTAGATTTTTAACTTTTTGCCCAGGCAGCACTATTAGGCTACTCTTTTGGATTTCCAATTGCTAAGGGATTTTTTTACGTGCGTCCGGTCTTACTGCCCAGAAACCAGGGGAAATTACTAGAAAATTACTTTTAAAAAATCCCTGCCTTCACTGGGGCTTAAACCCGGGCATTTTATAGACACAGCTGCCATACCTGTTCACATCCTTGTAGTGACCAAAGAATGCAGACGATTCCTTAGTATGAGTATCTAAACATTTTTAAACAGGCTAGGACACACAGACAATTTAAAAACATTAGGAAGTTAAAGTCATATTTTCATGGCAACATTTATGAGAACAGAAAAACTGGAGCATATTGTGACAACCAGAAGCATTTATGGAAAGAGAGATCAACCATTTGTAATGGCCTGAAAATGTTGCAACACATAAATTGCTGACCACATCACCCACCAAGTGCCGATTGGTCTAAAAAAATAGGTCAAGCCCTATATTCCAAATACGCCTAAAGGTGCGGATAAAGGACCTTTACTTTAAATAAATTTAAATCTGCTACCAGAGATTTTAAGGCTTGGAAGTTGCATCATCTTTGCCACTCAGCAGTTCATTTGATGGTGATTTTTTTTTTTTCAATAATGCTTGAGAACTGGGCATATGAGCAGAACTAACTGTTGAATTTGTACATGTGGGTTCTCTACACTGTTTTCTAGCTTCTTCTTCTTCTTTGCATTCACCAACTGTAAACTCTGGTGGAAAGTTCTGGTTGTTCGTCCACTTCTGGACTGCAGTCCTGTTCCAGAACCTGAGTGTTGCGTGGGCATCCATTTGACAGATCTGACATATTTGTGTGCAGACTGTTGGTTCCTTGCCTCTCAGGCAGATGCACTTCGACTTCAAAGGAATCTCCAAATTAGTTGACTCTTACAACATGCTTTTGGGTTTTTCCTATTATAGGGCTCTTGAACCCACACAGGGGGTTTTGAAGCCTTAGTAGACTTATTTTGACAAACTATTAACATACAAAATACAGTCGAGTCCACTTAAGTCGAACTCGGATAAATGGAATTTTGGTCAAGTCGACATGACCAGCTTATTCCCAGCAATTTTCTTTATTGTGTGTACTGTCTGGATAAGTAGAAATCCTGATAAGTGGAAGTATTTTCTTAGGTCCCTGCGACTTCTACTTATCCAGACTCGACTGTAGTCACGTAGGGACACTTTCCACACCTTCAGGTATTTCGGGCTAGGCCTATATTTTATAGACCAATCAGTACTCTGTGGGTGATGTGGCTGCCTTTGCTTCCCAGGACTTCACCTGGTACCCATTTGAGGCCAGGTCGAAGTTCATTTTTAAAACCAGTCTGGCTCCATCAGGTCCTGAACCCATGACCTTCCAGTTCATAGAGCACCTAGATTAACATACATATTTACATTTAATATTTTCAGGGGGGCCGCATCAGTGCAGTCGATAGGAGACTCGCTCTCAAATCTAGCTGCGACTAGCTGTAGCCCATAGCAGGTGTTCGATACTGGGCGGTTCCCGAGGTTCACCCAGCCTCTAGGAAATGTGTACCGGAGTTAACACTCTGGGGTAAATGGAGGAACGTCACTGTAGCTACGGTGTTGCGTGCGGACAGTGACACAGGCGGATAGTTTTTTTTTTTTTTTAATTAGCTGTTCTTACTTGTGGCAGAGCACTTATGGTTTATAACCATGTGCAATGACGTTGGTTCACATCTCCTGACTTTTCATTTTTTTTTTTAAATTTAATATTTCCAAAGATGACTATGTCATTATCAAGTGTACTACTCCTTTCCTCAGTTGTGTACAATGGCTAAAGAACTACAGTCTCCAAAAGATGCATCTCCATCACCAGAGTCTGTGGTCAATGGAGGAGCAATTATTGACAGTTTCTCAGCTTTGGACCTACCTGCCTTACATTCAGTTGACTCAACTAAAGATGCTTTAGCGCCAAATGCTAGACTTACTGCAGCAAGTAAATCAGATCAGAGCACTACGCCATGTACCTTAGGTCCTGCAACATCCATCAGTAATGACCTGCATTTACCAGGACAGACATCAGCATTTCGACCATTCATTACTCCAGCTTCATTAGTGTCAACAAGAGAAATCAGTTCATCATCTCATACTCAGATAGTAAACACATCCACACAGCTTTCCGTAGATGACAGCTTAATATTGCCAGGAACCACTTCTTCTCTAGTCCTTGAGACCAATTCCCCATCATCAAATCATCTCAATTTTTTACGAGAGTCAAGTTCAAATCATGATGAAAATGATGATGGACGTACAACAGCATCAGCACCTCCTTGTACTCCAGCTCCGGAACCTCACCAGCAGCCTCAGTCTCCTTTCAGAAACAGTCGTCAGATTAAAAAAATTGACCTCCTGGCAATGTCACGGTCTCGCCAATCAGACAGAGCTGATAGTGCCAGGAGAGATGGGCGGTTGGCACCCAGTCCTAGAAAAAAGGATGAAGTTCTGAGGAATAGCGGTTTCACTTTCCCAGCTGGGCGTGGTTTGAGAACACATTCCAGTCTACAACTGAACTTGCAGCAAAATGGCAGTCTGCCAGTGACTGATGCTGTGGTGTCTCCAGAAAGGCTGGCAAATGGCACTTCGTCAGATGCATCACCAAATGTAGATGTAGTGAGTGTTGATGAGCAGCCAGATCCATCCAGGTGTACCTTCAGTGTTCATTTTCATGACTTGGCCACAGGTGAGTCTTGACTTTAACTTGCTCAGTACTAGTTACATTTGTTATACAAGATGCATTAGAGAAGATGGCACTATATTGAGAAGATATGAACAGAGACACACCAAACAGACACTGAAATGGGAAGTATAGAGAATTGTAGGAAGGTAGATGTCCCAGAGGTTTTTAGGGCAATCATTGGGGAGAGAAGCCAAAGCTGATGGAATGGATCTCATCCATGATATCAGATTGCAGAGAATAGAATTGAATGGAGAACTAGACTGCGGGCCCTATGTGACATGTAATGGCACCACAGGACAATGAATGAATGAAAGACATAATGCTTTCCTCTGTTAGCCAAAGATTTAACATGTACTTTCACCATTAGTTTCCTTGCATATGCATTGATATCCTTCCAGTTTTCAGTCATTGGTGTTTTGACCAGTTCTGTTTATGAATGCTATGCATCCACTACAGTGTTTTCTTTATTCCCGCTTAAAATGGCAGTTTGAATGTTGTGTTATGGTTTATTGCTAGACTATATCTTTACCTTTCAGTCCAACAGATCTGCAAATCCTGAAGTCCAAATCTGTTGTCTGTTTCACAGTTTAAATGCATTTGTCTATTGCTTTCATCACTTTCATGTGATGGAGTTGATTGGTTCTTTAGGACTGTATTCTGGATGGGAAGTATTCTGATGGCTGCCTTGAGTTTTATTTTTCTCCTTACTGCTTCCTTTATAGCAGCGCTATTTACCTGGCAGCTGATGGGTAGAATCCGGCCTGCAGAAGCCTAGCAAGTGGCTCCCTGATCATTGTGTTGATTTAATGATCTGTCTGCGCTGGGGCTCGGGCCTCTGATGGTTCTCATTTTCATCATTTTGACCCTGAGTAAACTTAGTTGAATAGCCCTGCTTTATAGTATATTCATTTATTTTAATTCACTTAAATCTAATGATGCTCTTCTATAAACAGCTGAACAGATGTTGAAATGCAGTCTGTGTGGGTTCATCACCAACAACCAGAAGTTTTATAGAAGACACAAAAGATTACACAGCCGCCAATATCATCCAAATCTCATTCACTGCAGTCTGTGTGACTATTCAACTTCCCAGATTCGCAAGATGAAAGAGCACACAATCACTAGTCACCGGTTGCCTCATACATTGACAAGTTTCAACCAGAGCTTCACAGTTCCCCCATCTGTACATGAGTCTGCCAACAGGCATCAAGTGCAAGGACAGATGTACATAAGTAGAGGCAACAGTATCTTTCACCCAGTCACAAACAGATCTGTCAATGTACCAGCAGAAACAGCTGTAAGTACTACATTATCCAGCGCCTCCACACTGGGATTCTCAGCTTACATCCCCACATCACAAGAACGTATGCATGTAAACACACAAGCAGATCTGCCTCACCCACCCCGTGGTAGTGCCATGTTGGGAAACTACGCACCAGCAAATGAACAACCTGCCTCGGGCTACATGCGGTCAGTTATCTCTAACCTGATGTCTTCTCACACAGATCCAAACAGCAATGTCACGTCTAGTAATTTGTACCTACAGGCAGCCAAGAATTTAGTTCAGGATTCTCACATGATCTTGCCTTCCAACAGCAGCATTCCCTCTGTGGAGGAGACCTTTAACTACAGGAGGTTTTGGAACACAAATAGTTCTTTAAGTAACAACCAGAACCTCCCTGAAGCTGGTTTCAGGAAAGTTAAGACAGAGCCCAGAAGTGCACACATGAACACAGTGCCAAGAAATATTTACAGTACTCTTGGAAGCATTCAGAAAGATAGGCCTGCACCGAGTGCACGCAGACAGTCAGACCCATTGGATAGTGAATCTGGGATGGATCTGAGCAGTGATGATCCCACGAGTTCCCCACAGCCGGATACCGGAGGGTCTAGAGTCGATGCAAGAACCAGTACAGAGACAAATCACACTGACAACACAGCACTTGTCGACGGATCCACTACCGAAGCTCAGTGCTCTGTGCCTTTCATTAAGATTGAATTCCCGCCACATGGGGAATCTTGCAGTTACCTCAGCCATTCATTCTGTACCCGGTCTGATCGTGGAGTCCAGTGTGAGATAATATCTACGTCAGGTTTATCAAACAGACAAGGGCGTATGCAGTCGGAAACTGTTAGCAGTGCCGGTGGTTCTGCCTGCGTGGAAACTCACTGCTATTTTTGCGGGATTACCTTTGATGATGAGGTCCTTTACTCCATTCACATTGGCTGTCACAGTCATACTGACCCCTTTGTGTGTAACGTATGTGGCAAGCAGTGCCATAATAAGTATGGCTTCTACTCACATATAATGCGAGGTCATCAAGCTAGGTCCTCCACATAACTAATGCTTTTTTTAACTTTTCCATGGTGAGGCTTTTCAACTCTTTCACTGCCAGATATTTGTAGTTCTATCACTTGTTATCCAAAAATATGTGTACTTTAGGGTAACAATCTTTTTTTTTATTGTTATTGAGTTAAAATATTGAAACCCCATTAAAGATTATAGGGGAGCTTCTGTGGCATAGTGGCTAGACTCTTGCCTGCAGGTCCGATGGTTGTGGGTTCAGGCCCTGACGGAGTGATTTTTATTTCAAAATGAACTTGGCTCTCAGGTCGACCCAGTCTTAAGAGAGTGCCAAGTGAAATCCTGGGATGTAAAGGTGGGCAGCATGATGTTTACCACATCACCCACCGAGTGCTGATTAGTCCTCTAAAATGTAGGTCTAGCCCTATATGCCCAGTATGCATTGAGGGCGTGGAAAGGGGTCCTTTACTATAATTACATGATAGAGCGATTCAGACAGAGAAGGATTGGCTTAGTTGCACAGAGTGTATCCCATATGGCTTGTGGTCTCTCCGCTGAATGGCCCGTCATCTGCTGAGAGCGTTGCGTAAAGCACAAACTCTGAAGCTTCAGCAACAAGCCCCCAGGATCTTGATTTTAAAAAACTGTGCACATGAACTGAATAATGAACTGTCAAGAGTGTGTGGCGAGCGGTTTGACCACTTCAGCACTGAGACTCACAACCCACATAGACTGAGACACTAATAAATTAGACACAGTTGCTTAAAATACTGGAAGAATAGGACATTAATGGTTTAAAACAAATGTGTTCCTTGTAATTCCTTGTAATCAGTAAACAAAGCAAATTTCTTGGTACGGTTTGAGCTATATGAGTGTGTGCCCTCTTCTTAAAAATCACTGTCATTTTCTTGACTCTTGTACTAAATTTAAAAAAAAAAAATTATTTAAGTGTGTTTTGACAAGGTGTAGCTTTTATTTATTAATTTCATATTTTTCTTTATTATTTTCTTATTATTTTGTGTCACAGTTGTAAATTTTGTTCTCTAGTCGGTTTGATTCCAACATCAGTTGTGTGTCTGATTCAAGACCTATATTTGTATAGACCAATCAGCACTTGATGGGTGATATGTGGTTAATTAACATCATGCTGGTCACCTTTGATAAAAGTATGCCCAGAATTGGTTTTAAACCCAAGACCTTTGGGCAAGCAGGGAAGCATCTCATCTAGTCTTTGTGCTACTGGGGCTCATGAAGTAACTTACTGTTTTATATATCTATAAAGATATAGAGGACTTTTTCTGTCGGTTCACAACAATATGCAGGCCACCATATTTTTATTTTTTATTTTTTTCTTAAAGGCAAATAATTTTATTTCAAGTGCTACCTGTAATAAACATTTTGGCATGGATACTGGTACATTTTAAGACACGTGAGTATTGGCACCTATGTGTGTGGATATATATATATATATATATATATATATATATATATATATATATATATATATATATATATATATATATATATATATATATGTGTGTGTGTGTGAGTATATGTATAGTGGGAGAAGGAGCGAAGATTCAGTTGAGCATTTATATTGTGGATTAAATGTGACATTTTTGTTCTTTTTTTTTGTTGTTTGTTAACAGTACTGTTATATCCTTAATTATTTTGTTGACAAAACTTATGTTCTTAGTTTCCACACTGATAATGTTTATGGTTTTGTAAAAATGAAATATGGACACGTTATGCCGTAAATAAAGAGTTTTTCTTATGTAATATTTGTGCATGTATTTTTTAAACATACTTTGTCATGAACATGTCTTTTTTTTTATACTGTTGCTAAATATATGTCTACGGTATATTTACAAGATATGTACATCATATTCACAGTAAGCACACAGTCTGAAAAACAGTTACTCACTACAGAGATGTGGGTTTTAGAGAAGAAATTATAGAATGTCATGTAATGATAGAAAAATTTAGAAGGACCTTAGAAGAAGAGATAAACAGACTTTATCCACACCATAGCTGGATTAGATTTTATACAGAAGGTTCAGCCAAGAGAGCATTAAGAGTCGGAGGAGGAGGTATATATATATATATAGAATGCCCGAATGGTTTTAAAATTTAACTAGCTATACCAACAGGTTCGTATTCCTCCAGTTATAGAAGCAGAGGCTCTTCTGGTGGCATGTTCTTTCCTGAATGGGCAACAGCACAGCATACATAGCAGAGTGGTCTTTCTGACTGATACCCTGTCAGTTCTACAAGCAATTGTTAACCCAAAAGACACGCACTTTGTAGATACTTGATGAAACAGCTGATTCACTTAGGCTCTTTAGTAGAACAGTCTGTACTGCAGTGGTTTCCAGGTCATTGTGGCATGGTAGGCAATGAAATAGCAGACAAATTAGCCAGAAGCAGCAGTAAAATGTTACAATCAGAAAGTGACTTAACCCACCAAGAGACTAAGACATTAATACAATCTAATATCCAAGAAAGGTGGCTGGACACACACACACACATAATTATCTCCCCAAGACTCGCTTTATCTGCTATCTAGAGAGGGACAATGTATTTTATTCAGACTAAGGACAGGGCACAACAGACTGGGTCAACATATGCTCAAACTGTTTGGTGTAGGAAACACAGAGATGTGTCCCTGCAGCGTGGCACCCGAAAACGCTAAGCATGTGCTCCAACACTGTCGTCAACTGTATGCTGCCAACAGAGATGCAATCTGGCCTATTCCAACCACAATGAAGACAAAACTGTATGGTACCCGAGGACATATGAACTGCATGATAGCTTTCATAAAGGCTACTGGCCTGCTTATATGTTTTCTGACAGAAGAATCGAACAAGAAGAAGAAGAAAGAAATATTAATGAGACAGTCCTCCTTGAGACAGATGAAATCCGTAAACTGATTAGAGAGAGAAATTAGAGTTAGTTAGAGGACAGATTATCATCACTGCACATCGAACCACTCAGTTCATAAGTGCTCGGATCCCCACCTCAGTAAATCCTGCAGCATGTAGTGGCTGATGATACCATTTCTGTGTAGGTTTATCATTCCTCTTTGACTACCCGCATTGTGTTCTTGTTGGCTACACCCCGTTTAACTTGCTGTTCTTGCAGTCTGACCATGGTTGCAGATTCACAGTTCTCAATTAGTTCACGCAAATGTCTTAAATCTTGTAGAGCATTCAGTATGTCAGCCTGGTCCATGGCTTGTCCAGCTTTTACAGTAGCCTTACCTGCAAGTCTATCAGCTTGCTTATTTCCTTGTACCCCCACATATACTGGCACGAAAATGAAACTAATCCTTGTCAGCTGTGAAAGCTGTAGAGCCACCTACCACTGCCTTAGGACCCAACACTTCTCTATCCATGTCTATACTGATGGATCAGCATTTAAAGCTACCATTAAAGCAGGTTACGGAATCTACATAGGTTATCCCGATGGATCTGTTGAAGAGATTTTTGATGCATGCGGAGAATTCTGTTCAAACTATGAAGCTGAAATAATTGCACTGGAAACAGCAGTATACCACCTAAAGACTGTAATAGATGTTTACCCTTCAAAGGTCCAAAATATTGTCATCTTCACAGATTCAGTGTCTGCCCTTCAAGCTCTGGAGGGCAGTGAACGCTGCAGAACTGACATAGCCAAGATAATCCTGGATGCTGATCAGCTTATTACCTCATACAACATCAGAATAGTGATGCAGTGGATTCCAGGTCACTCCGGCACACCAGGTAATGACAGAGCTGACAGATTGGCAAAGAAAGGAGCAACACAAGAACAACCACCTACAGCGACAACCCTCCAGACAGTAAAAACACTGATAAGAGCTATAAACAAAGAGACCTGGTTGAACAGATGGGCCATGGGAGAAACTGGAAGAGAGGTTTATAGACATATGTCTGGCCCTGATCCTAATGACAGCATTAACCATCTAACAAGAAGGGACCAGGCCACCATCTTCAGACTTAGAACGCAACATACTTCACTCAATGGACACCTAAACAGAATACAGCCACAACACTCCCCAGAGTGCCAGCTATGTAACTACCCCTACGAAACTGTTGAACACCATCTCTTTGAGTGCCCAAAGCTCAGTGAGACAAGAAGAACGCTACTCCCTCCGAGACCAGACAAGTGGAACACCTTGTACGGAGGAAAAGAACAGCTTGTGAAAACATGCAAATTTCACTACATGGCATTGGGCCAAAGGGCGAAAGCTCATGCGCCGCTGGATCGATAACAACAACAACAACTCTATCATCCTGAGCATACTCATCGAGTCGCTAAGAAAGCATACCTCAGTGAAAGTCTGTCTCTAGACATGTTACTGCTTTAGTCATAGCTATGACCTCCATAGTTAGACTACTTGTAGTTACGACAAAAGCTCCAGAATCTTCCTTTACAACTCTCCCTCCAACCTGAGCTGTGAAAGCCCACGAGCTTCTAACATGGTGAATGATAGACCAGACCCATCTGTCTAGACAGCATCACCGTCTAGAGCATGGCTATTCAATTGGCGGCCCGCGGGCCAAATGTCCGCCAAGGCCTAGCAAGTGGCCCACGGATCACTTCTAGCTGTATTGTATTTACGATCTTTCTGGCTGAGGCCTCTGGCCCGTGACAATCCCTAATTTTGAACATTTTGGCCCCTGAGTCAACTTAGTTGAAAAGCCCTGGTCTAGAGCATTCTCAAAAATCAAGGCTTGAACTTTGCTTCCACAGTAGATGGACTCTGTTGTCTGCATTTTCTGTCAAGCTGGATGCAAACAGAAAAGGATGTACAGCACTCTGAAGGCACTTGCATCCACTCCTTGCCGGGTTCTATGTCCTCAAGTAAACATACCTGTAAACAAATGTCCTCGGCTTGACCCATCCATGATTTCCCTCTTTTTAACCTGCTGCCTTGTATCTTCTTAATTTCATATGCGATGAATCTGGTGTGTCTGCGTTGACTGTGAGGTAGGCACATGCTCAGGAAATTTGTATTCTGTTTTCCATGGTTGGAAAATCAAGAAGGTAGCGCATGACCCTGCATGCTGTATCTCTTGTACACGCAAGTATAATGTGCATAGCCTTGTTCTGCATCCTTTCTATCTGCTTATGGCTAAGAGTCAAGATCGCCATCGCCTTTTCAAAAACAGAAAGGATTAGATCCTGGTATAGAAGACATAGATGACGCTGCTCACAGTTTGCCGCCGCCATCACTCTCATTGCAGCCAGACCCCGCTTGGCTTTCATTATAGTCTGATCTATGTGCTTAGTATAAGCAAGGCTTCGATCCAGGTATACCCAGGTATTTCATTTTATGCATTTTTTCCATAACACAGACTAACAACTGTTAAATGAGAACCAAAAAAATTTTTTTAATAAATTTTAGGCTTTTTTATACGTGAAAACTAATTAAAGAGTAAAGCAAATCGTGGCTACCTCACACAGGGGGAAAAAACACAGATAAAATAAACAAGATTAATTAAAACATTTTATTTCAAATTTGAATGTAAACAGAACTTAGAGAAATGGTTGGTTATATCAAAATCTGTTGCATAACCAACAACATATTGACATGATTTGTATTGTAAAATAACTAAGAGAAATGGTTGGTTATATCAAGATCTGTTGCAAAATCAACAATATATATAGACATGATTTGTATTGTAAAATACCTCCCAGAAATTTTTTTTTGTAAAATAAAAGTAATCAATAGGAGGCAAAAATAAATAAATGATAATTGACAAAGCTGTGTGTGTTGCCTTTCCTTCAAATAAACATTCTTAAAAATTAAGACATGTATCAAATATAGAAGCAACAATTTTTTGCCAAACTGTCAAAGTATACATTAAAATCATCCACATTTGTGGTGACGAAAGTAAATCTATCTTGATTACACATCCTAAAGACAGATTTTTCTCTTTTTCAACTAAAATGTAACTTTCAAAAAATGCATATGCACCTTCCTCTAATTTAATGCAGTAACCACCTGTTTTTTTTTCTTCTTTGCAGTCATTAACTATAATCTGACCCTTTAAAAACAGCATTAAAAATGTAAGCACTCCATGTAAAAACAAAACAATGCCCAATTTTAAACAATTTTATAACATTGGCTAATTTTGTTTTCTTCTGGTAAACTTTTACACACCATCGGACTAAGCACAGGACGTTGCAGAACCAACCCCAACAGCCCCTGGCTGTTGTGTGGTTTCTCTAGGCAAGTTACATCCAGTAGTTTGCCATTGCTTTCTGGACGGTAGGCTTTCTTGATACCACTGTCGAAACCAACGCAAGGCGCATTGCCCGCAGCTAGGATCGAACCTGGCATCACGGCATTACGAAGCGAAGCGTTCACATCGACTTAGCCACAGAGCCGACATCGGACTTAGACATCGCTTTATTTAGGAATATTACATCTTGAGACCCACATCTCTTCCAAGGTGTTCTCCTACCAGTAAATGAAAGCAGCAAAAACATGTTTTGTTCTTAAACCTCTCTGGTATACTTGCTCATCATTTATATTTGCCCTTCACATTTCTCTTCACTTTTGTTGTGAGCCCACAATCACTACCAGCTCTCTTTTAAAAAAACATTAAAGAACTATTTAAACAACATTTATAATAGCTGCCATTAAAAATTATCATGACACCTTGTCATTCAGTAATTATACAAGTCAAACGAACCCACACAAATATGCACATAAACAACTGACATAAAAGATTAAAAACATTCAAATGTGATATTTCTCTCCTTCAAAGTAACATTTAAAAAAGCAAAACACTTCAGTTAGCTTTTAATTATACAGTCTCTGGAAGGTGTTTCCAATTGATTGGTTTCTGCCCGTCTGCTATCAGGAGTTCATTACAGTGAGAGAAATGTTTGCATCCAAAAAATCCTCGATGGGCAGACAGTGGCGATGGATGAACTGCTGTCAAAATGTGATGTTTTTTCTAAAAAGAAAAATAAAGGTTTCTAAATGTTATTAATGAAATCAGCTAGAAGAAACAATTTCACATGTACCAATAATTCATGTCTATACTTTTTTTATATCATTGTTTAGTTCATTACTTGTCCGTGAAACGCAACCAGCTGAAACATTTTGTGCTGTTTTGTGCACATGTTTCTGCTTCCGTTTCATTAAGCTTTTTAATCACATTTCACTGGACTTCCTCGGTAGTTGCTTGACTGCGGTCACCATTTTTTTTCTTAGATAATTAGCGACTGTATTTTTCCGTGCATTAGACTAGATTTTTCAAGTTTCAAACTGGGAGTTGTCTTTAAAACAGAATATGTTTAAAATATTTATTTCTTAATTTTGGGCTAAAAACAATACGGGTCATCATCTTATAATCAGAGTATCATCTACATGGAAAATATGGTAGTTTGTCAAAAGATGATCCTCACTGCACATAGAACCATTTAGTCCAAAAGTGTTTCGGATCCCCTCCTTGCATCGTGAAGCTGCTGATACCCATTCTGTGGTGGTTTACTATTCTTCTTTGGCTTCCTGCACTGTGTTCTCGTCTGGACTCACCATTTTTGGCTGAGTGACTGCTTGATTATACATAAAACAAAAGTTTTGATCGCATTCAAGCAGCTATTTGCTTACAAATGTGATCTTTATAGTATAATCCTTATTAAAATATTGCATCTTGGAGTCTATTTGGGTGTTTTTGTTGTAAATCATATCATATGGCGTTTTCTGATGTCACACTGGGTTCTTCTCCAACATATCCATCACAGCTTTCTAAGAAGGCAACCACTATCGTTTACATCAAATTATTTGGTTTCATTTCAAGTAAGGATTACTCCCTACCAGAAAACATTCGGCAGGGTACTCTCCATGATCTGGCACTCCTGCCACACACTCCTCTCGTAGCTGCCACTGGCACAGTTGTTTTCATCTGTTGTTCTTGTCTCATTCACAGATTATCCTATTACAGCCAGTGCCCTGTGGTGTAGGTCATATGTCTCTTGACAATCCTCTGTCTCATCTGCTGCCAATCATTTCAGAAGTCAAGTCATCCAATATCTTCTCCCTTGATCTGTCCCATCTCTCTTCCCCTTTAACTTCCCTGCAGTCGTGACATACTGCAGTTTCCGCTTCTCATGATGTACTCAGAATATCATCAGCCTGTTGTGCCACTGTAACTCAACAGAATGGAGTCCAGTCCATCACATTTGGCCTCTCTCGTCAACATTTACTTTACGGTTTATTTTGACGTCATCACTTCCTCAATCCCTTTATTTTCCATTTCAGTACCTGTCTGGTGATTCAATGCTTGTTTCTTCTCAGGATGTGTCCAACCATCTTCTTCGCCTCTTGAATTCATCCCATTTTATGTTCAACATTTTCCTCAGGAATTTGTTTTCAAATGTATTTTGACATTCGATCCATGTCATGTGGTTCTCCAACTTTCACTAGCATATGTTAAAACTGAAAAAAAAACATTAGAATTAAAAATAGGTAACTTGGTTTTAAAACTACAAATTACAGAGTTCCATATTTTGTTCAAGCTTTTAAAAGCTGCTGATGCCATGCCACATTATTTCTTTTTGTGTGTATTTCCTTGCCTAACAAAATTACTACCTAAATAAGTCTTCTTCCTTTCGCTTAAAATAGATTATCTATATCTACAACGTTGTCTCTAGTATGAACTGCACCTAAATTAGTAAGCTGAACTATTGAAGCCCTTTATCTCTAGCATTACATCTGTTGTCAGTGTCTTCCATATATTTGTCTTTGTTGTGTGCTGATTCGGGCGAGTTGTAACATTGTAGGGGGACAATGTGGTATGAATAGTGTTTTCAGGAGTCCACGGGAATGTCCGGTGACCTGTGTCACTATTTGGTGCAGTGTTGACTTAAGCCAGGAAATATCTGTCAGTTGAGTCAATATTGTGGCAAGTGGGAATTGACCGTGATGGATCAGTGGATTTACAAAGTATTAGCCAGTGTGGGCTAACTATCATGACTTGTGTGAGATAGCTGCTGTCGCAAGGAAGACGTATGGGGTGCGTGACAGCGTGCATCTCGTGTGCACGGGCAGCTCACAAGGGGCAGGCAAGGGTATATACTGGGGTTGTGTGGACTGTTGAGCAGTAGCAGTTGAGAACTCGAACAGTTGAGTCAAGAACGTTAGAGGGAAAGCACTCACAAGAAACCGTTCGAGAGTGTACAAAGGAGAGTCCAGTAGGCAAATCAGGCTAAGTGAGCTGGACTACTCAAGAGATGCTGTTTTGGGTGACAACGCATGTAAGCGGTAGGATCACCAGTGAAACAAGACAGCAGAGATGCCGGCGATAGCTGTGTGGTGAAGAGGACTCATAGCCTGGAGTCCTGCCGGTCATCGGAGTTCCTTCGACCAGGCTGTGTGCACATGCTGGAGAACGAGTACGGTAGCCGATGTGTCTGAGCAGCAGAGGTCCAGCTGATTAGGAGAGATACCTGTTCATCTGTACAGCGAGCTTGGAGTTGCGGAATGCTGTAGACCTAGAACTGTAGCGGTCGGCTCATGTGTGGTGGGGCTAGTACAAGCTGTACGGGAGAGCGACGCTATAACTGAGTAGTAAGCAAAGGAAGGGCTATTTGTTGCATGTTAGACAGGAGAGATGTCTGCATTACTTCGATTGCATTGATGTGTGTGTGAGGGCTTGTGAATACCCTCTGTGATCGTAACAATAAATGTGCTTATATGGCGGACATTACATCGTTGAGTTTTCCTGCAAGTTGTGTGTGGGGAGCTGAACTGTACCTTTAGACACTAGGCCGTTTGCTGGTTGCTGTGAACCCAAGTTAGCACACAACAGTCTTTTCATAACCTATTTGTAGTCCAAGCTTTGATGCTATATTTGCGAAATTGCTTTTCTATGCATGTCACAGTTGTTTGTATCTAGCAGAACAATATCATCAGCAAAATCAAGATCTTCCAACTCTGTTCTCTACCCAGTCAATGCCAATGTTTCCAACACAACATTTTTTCACCACCCGGCCAATAATTAGCAAAATAACAGAGGAGATAAATTGTTCCACTCCTGTTTCAAATGCAAACTAATCACTTAAACAATCATCTGTTTCACTGCACACTCTGAACCTTCATATACTGCTTTAATAATATTTTTAATTTCCACTGGCATTTCACAGCCAAAGAATATGGACACTTCTAATGCAAGTTCACGTTCTCTCTGTGAGTTAATTTCTTGTAAGACTTCATCCAGTGGACGAATAGGTGAAGAAAAGACACTGGCATTGGATAGGATACATGTTGAGAAAACCTGAGAACTATAATGTATTTGCAATGGAATCCACAGGAGCACAGAAATAAAGGAAGACCAAAAAACACACGGAAAAGGGAGCTAGAGAGTGAAATTAAAAAGATTAGGTAAGAGTTGCATGAAATAGCAAAAGATAGAATGACTTGGTGTGAGTTGGTTGAGAGCCTATGCTCCATTGGAGATAGAAGGCAGAAGAAGACTTCATCATTACACGTATGGGTTCCAGGGCCCTACTTATCTGTGGAAATTAAGAGACTCACTGTCGCCTATTAGTCATGTCATTTGACGACCATTTAGGGGTTTGCTGAAATCAGACATTGCAGTGTAGCTATAAACCACAATATAACTACCCTTTTAAAGTCGAACACAAATGATATATGTCTGTAGGTTCTCATCATTCTTCAATAAAACCATATCTTTGCAGATTTTACATAATTTCTCATTAATCTGTGGACTGTCCATGATTCACTTTTGTACATCAGGATTGTCCACTGATTGCTTTTTGAACATCAGGATTGTCCATGATTCACTTTTGTACATCAGGATTATTCACTGATTCACTTTTGTACATCAGGATTGTCCACTGATTCACTTTTGTACATCAGGATTATCCACTGATTCACTTTTGTACATCAGGATTATCCACTGATTCCCTTTTGTACATCAGGATTGTCCACTGACTCACTTTTTTACATCAGGATTGTCCACTGATTCCCTTTTGTACATCAGGATTGTCCATGATTCACTTGTGTACATCAGGACTGTCCATTGATTCACTTGTGTACATCAGGATTGACCATGATTCACTTTTGTACATCAGGATTGTCCACTGATTCACTTTTGTACATCAGGATTGTCCATGATTCACTTTTGTACATCAGGATTGTCCATGATTCACTTTTGTTTATCAGGATTGTCCATGATTCACTTTTGTTTATCAGGATTGTCCACTGATTCATTTGTGTGTATAAGGATTGTCCACTGATTCACTTTTGTTTATCAGGATTGTCCACTGATTCATTTGTGTGTATAAGGATTGTCCACTGATTCACTTTTGTACATCAGGATTGTCCATGATTCACTTTTGTTCATCAAGATTATCCACTGATTCCCTTTTGTACATCAGGATTGTCCACTGATTCCCTTTTGTACATCAGGATTGTCCATGATTCACTTTTGTACATCAGGATTGTCCATGATTCACTTTTGTACATCAGGATTGTCCATGATTCACTTTTGAACATCAGGATTGTCCATGATTCACTTTTGTACATCAGGATTGTCCATGATTCACTTTTGAACATCAGGATTGTCCATGATTCACTTTTGTACATCAGGATTGTCCATGATTCACTTTTGTACATCAGGATTGTCCACTGATTCACTTTTGTATATCAGGATTGACCATGATTCACTTTTGTATATCAGGATTGTCCATGATTCACTTTTGTATATCAGGATAGCCCATGATTTACTTTTATACATCCCAATTGTCCATGATTCACTTTTGTATATCAGGATTGACCATGATTCACTTGTGTACATCAGGATTGTCCATGATTCACTTGTGTACATCAGGATTGTCCACTGTTTCACTTTTGTACACCAGGATTGTCCATGATTCACTTGTGTACATCAGGATTGTCCACTGATTCACTTTTTTATATCAGGATTGTCCACTGATTCACTTTTTTATATCAGGATTGACCATGATTCACTTTTGTATATCAGGATTGACCATGATTCACTTGTGTACATCAGGATTGTCCATGATTCACTTGTGTACATCAGGATTGTCCCTGATTCACCTGTGTACATCAGGATGGTCCATGATTTACTTTTGTATATCAAGATTATCCATGATTCACTTCTGTATATCAGGATCTGCTGAATATAGCTTTTAAAAATGCACGTTAACCTCAACAGACAAATATATACATTACTGTACAGAAAAGAGATCCACTTTTATCAGACATTACAATACACTGAACATAAATAAGAGAGAATGTCCAGAATATAAAATATTTGTTCAGTCACCTTATCAATACAGGCTCCTTTCTTCTGTGCATAAGCTCCCCACACCAAAAACACAAGCCCCTTGAGGTTTGAGTTCAGCCAATGAATAGTGGCATCTGTGAACTTCTCCCAGCCCTTTCCTGCATGTGAATTGGGCTGACCTGCCCGAACTGTGAGGCAGGCATTCAGCAGCAGCACTCCTGCAAGTGAAGACAGATAAAAGCAATGTTACATCACATGTTATCTGAACTGACACCCTTGTACATCAGTCTGGTCCATTTGTGTTCCGTCTTCCAATACAGCAGCAATCTCACTGACTCCATGTTCACTGTACCCAGTAGGATTTGACTAGTATGTCTTCTTTCTTTGCATCGAAACTGGTTTCTGCACACGCTTGTCCTTGTCAAATACCCATTTCCAACCGGTGGGCCATTGTCCCTGACTGTCTCAATGTCTTTGGAATGCAGCGAATTTAGGATGTCTGCCCTGTCCATACTTATTCCGCCACTAACAACTGTAGATGCAGCCAGTCTGTCAGCTCTTTCCTTTCCTCTCACCCCGGCGTATCCTGTGTACAGCTAAGACAATTTCTTGAGGTGGGACTTCTGGATGCTATCAACCCATTCAACTCGTCAAGAGTTTGTCAGTTTGGATTTTCTTAGGCATGTATACATTACATGTGGCTGTATTTGGTTGTAGTGAGTGAAGTAAAAACTCTTCTATAGTGATTGTCAACATAATTGTTCAGTGTCAAAAGGCAGAGTTCAAAGAGTAAAATAAACACTTAAAAAAACATAAGTAATGGGTTATTTTTCATGTCTATATACAAGGTAAATGATGCTAGTCCATTAACATTTTTATAGACTAAATAGTATAAATGGGTGGTGATGTCAACATCAGCTGCCGTAATTTCCCAGAATACACCGCAGTACCCATTTTATGGTGAGTCAAAAATATAAATCTATTTGCTGCGAGGGTCTGTGGCTTACACATTGCAGACATGTTTCGTAATGCTAAGGTGCTGGGTTCAACCCCAACTGCAGGCAATTTGGTATCTTGAGTTGGTTTCAACAGTGGTACTGAGAGTTGACAGTTCAGAAAGCAATGCCAATCTAGTGAACGCAAAATTGTCTAGTAAAATCACAAACAGTAAAAACAATGCTGGTGTTGGTTCTGCAATGCTCTGCAAAAGATACACAACTAACTTATCTGTTTGTTGTGGGTTATCATATACAGGTTCATTTTCATGTGACTTTAGTTGCTCCATTAACCCTTTCACCTTTGCAATTACAACATGAGTGAGAATTTGCACACACAAAATTGCTTTAAAAAAATATTTTACATATATTCCCCTATGTTTTTTTCTTTTCAAATGCCTTCTTATTTAACTTCTTTTCATTTCACAATATAACTCATCATGTTCGTATCCCACCCCCCCCCCCTTCCTCCTCCCATTTACAGTTGTCTTGGTTTCATGTTGACCAGAAGCTCTGTTGTCTTGTCCTTCAAGTTTTCCAGTTTGTGTTGTATTTAGTACTCTATATGTTGGTTGAAATGTTTGGTTGTATTTGTGCACACCTCTTCCATTTCCTTCATTGGTCAATCTAGTCACATTTTATGTTATAATTAGCATAACGTTTTTATATAGGTAACTAACAGATTGTTTAAAAACTGATTTATCTACATTCTTTGAAATGCTTGTTTCAAAATATAAATATTTTAAGTAATCCATAAATAAGAACAGAGTGAAGCATTAAATGGAATGCATTCTTCAGGGTTCTAAAACAAACAGATATTGGATGACTCATGCCATGGCCTCTATTCCTGAGGCTTGCGGAGCAAATCTGACATCAGGTTGGCTCCAAAAAACACCATTGGGGACATAAGGGACCCATTGCTATTTTTAGTTACTACATACACATCTTGGCTTATTAAATACTGTGCAGGCACACACAGAACCAACAGCATTTAACTGTCTTTTTGAGAAGAAATCACTGCATCTTGGGCTGTATCACAACCAAAGGTGACCGGATTTAGCCTTAAATCAAGTAGCGATAGGGTCAATTTCAAAACTGTGCTCTATCCCACCACAACAGAAGCTACAAAATCTGACATTTTCTGTTGCTATGCTACAGTGGTTCTAATAATTAGTCCTGGTCAAATTACAAGCCAGGATGCACCATGAGGAGGTGCTCCAGAATCTCGATTAAAAGTCTCTCAACACTAAAAGTGGAAAGAACTTTTGTAACTTATGCAAAATTTTAACTGGCTAACTTTTCCCCCCTTTATTTTTCCTTTAAAAACAGTGGTTGGTATTCTGTGGTTTACAGCTAGGCTGTGATATCTGCATCTTTCAATACGAAACATTTGATTTCTGAAAACCTCTATTTGGTAACTTTTTTTAAAACCACATGCTTGTTTGGAGCAGTGAGTATTACCCCCCCCCCCCCCCCCCCCCCCCCCCCTTGCCCCGCCAAAGAGGGCCTGAAATTCAAATAGAAAGGATGTCATGTCCATAAGAATATTACTTCACATACAATCTGTTCTAGTTATTTCTCTTATTCTCTTCTATTTCTGACAGTTCTCTTTCTCCAATTACCTCAAGAAACAGTATGGGGTGTTCATGTAAAGATCTTCTGTGTGCACTTTCCAATGCATTGTCTAATGTTGTTCTTGCTGACAACCTTCCATCTTTTCTGTGGTATTTTCCCTTATCTGTGCTCATTATATTTCTTCTACGTGGTAGCTGGTACCGGGGTATTCTTGTTAAATGGCCAAACCATTCAATCTGTTGTTCTTGAGTGACGGGTTTTAGTCTGCCACTTTATTCATTTTTTAAACCTCTCCTCAGCATAGCTAATACTACTGGCTGAGGACATAATTTGCCCGCTGCGTTTCTGAATTCTGACAAGGTCGTGGTATCAGTCAGTCGATACATTTCTAAGCCCTGGGAAATTTATTCTATTTAATGCTTCACCTCATTCAGGGTTATCGACTTATTATTATCAGGTGCCTTGCCGACTGGCATGGGCGATCATGCCTCTCCTCAATCTGCGATCTCCTGCAGCATATGTCAGTTTGTGTGCTGACACACCTCCATGTCATGCAACAAGACTGTCAAGAATCTTCTCACATTGTCTTTCTCTGTCCCTCCTTTCACAGATCTTTCCAGTGGTCCCAACATGTTCCATTTTCCCTCTTCTCATAACATGGCTGAAAAATAATGACTGTCTCCTTCTGATGTCTGTGATAAGTTGTCTTCGGGCACACATCTCTTTCAAATCCTCTTGGCTGCTCTTTTCAGCTATCCAAGGTATTTTAAGCAATCTTCTATAAAACTACATCTCTGAGGCAGTAAGACATTGTTTGGCCCGTCTACTGATTATCCAGGACTCACAGCCTTATGTTTAAACTGGATGTATGTAGCGAGCCAGAATTGTTTTTCTAACCTTCAATGACAGAGATATTTTTCATAAGATGTTCTTCATTTTATAAAATGCAGTTTTTGCCTGTCCTATTCTGTTTCTTATCTCTGTAATGCATCTTCCATCTGATGTTATCCATGTGCCCAGATACTTCAATTTCTGTACTTGTCCCAAAATAACACCACTGACTTTTATTACACATTTTGGAATAATGCTTTTTTTTTATATCACCATTTCATTTGTCTTTCCATTATTCAAACTTAGGCCCATTCCCCATTCTTTCACTTTCTACCACCACAATGTCTATAATTTCCTGTAAATCTTTCAGGCTTGTTGCTATCAAAACTGTCATCAGCATAATGTAAATTGTTTATATTAAGCCCACCAATCACAATTCCGGGCATTTCAGTTAAATATCTCATTAGATATTCACTGCAGGGTGAAAATAAATCAGGTGACAGTACAGATCCTTGTTGTCCTCCCCTCTTTATGTACTGAAATGTACCTAAACAGTTGTTAATTTTTATAGCTGTTGCTTGCTGCCAATTCAGATTCTTTAATATTCGTAAATCTTTTCCATCAATGTTTAATTTTTCTAACAGTTTGATTACTTCTTCAGATATCAGACAGTCAAATGCTTTTTTATAGTCTATGAAGCCTAAGTACAAATCAGTCTTTACTTTTATAGCTCTTTCTTACAATTTGTTAGGATGTATATGGCATTGTTTGTACCTTGTTTTCTACAAATCCACATTGTTCATCGCTGATTTCTGGTTTAATTTTGTTTCTTATTCTTCTCATAATTATTCTCAGTAACATCTTAGTCATCTGACTCATTAGACTTATTGTGCGATGGTCTTCACATTTTAAAGTAAGTTATTGACTACTACCTTAAAAATTCTTGTGTGGATTCCAGGGCTCCAATGTGGGGAAAACAAGTACAGACCTGCTGCCTCCCCAACAAGCATGTTGTAGAAGTCGACTAATTTGGGGCTTCCTATGAAGTCAGAGTGCATCTGCCAGACCTACAAGGAACAACCAGCTGCATAAAAATAAGCCAGTAAACTGATGAATACGCAAAAGCTAAAGTCCAAATGGATGAAAAACCAGGACTTTCTGCAGGGGCGTACAGCCGGTGAACACAAAAGAAGAAGAAGAAGAAGACTACCTTAAAATATTTCTTTTTTTTTTAAAAATCTATTTGTGATCTTTGTCAAGCATATTTTTTTTCCAGGAATCCCCATGGGTTCCGGCTGGGTTTTTTTTTTAAGTATCCAGGGCTAACATGTTATAACTGTCTGTCCCCCCCCCCCCCTTTTCTCCCACACCTCTCTCTCTCTCTCTCTCACATACACACAAAGAAGTATGGTACTGCAGTTAATTCAAATACTGGACATACCCTGTTGAGCCCATCCTATGAGATTTCCATGACCAGCGTGCTTAAAGCCCTCAATATCAGACTCCAGTTCTTTGAACATGTTTTCAAGGCTGAAAAAAAGGAAAAAAACGCTTGGTAAAGGACCTGGTTATTGATTAATGATGACAGACTGGTCGAGACAACAGCACTGACGTGATCCCTGATTCTAGTGATCTTATGAGATGTCAAAAACTTGACCACCTGACGGGCAAGGCACATGATAATAATTAATAAACCTGAGTGATCATGGTTTGCCACCTCACATAACCAAACTTTTGTTTGGTTCAAATCTGTGTTTGTGTAAAAATCATCCTTCGAAAAGGGCTATATCTGTTTCTTTTATTTCCTTCCAGGTAAGTATCACAAATTTATATAATTCTGTCATTTGTTATTACTTTGTCTCAGTTGTGTACACAATATTTTAATGTAGTCATTTAAAAGTCAGTACATTTTTGTGCGCGCTGTGCTTTGTTTCTTGCCAGTTTTGCTGATAATGGCTAATCACAGCAAAGTCTGATTTATTCAATGTAACTGGTTTTATAAAGCTGACGTATATACTTTAGGTTCTCCTTAACCTTTTCTACCTCTTCTCTTCCCTATATTTTCCTAAATTTATAGACCAAACTATCCATGTATTTATCATTGTCTTTCTCTTGATATTTTCCCTTCAAGATTTCCAGTTGTCAATGTGTTTTCAAATAAAAGTTCAATATAAAAAGCTTCCATTCACATGACCACTCCATCAAGTGAAGTCTGCCTGCAACTACTATTGAGACTCAAACCCTGAAATGCTGTGACAAGCAAGTGAACTAACAACTGACCTACCAAGGCTCATTACAGTAACAACATACTCATCATCATGATTTAGCAGGTCCTTTGCAGAATGTCGCTGTCATCACAGTCGGCCTGAAAGAAACTCGGTCTCTCACCAGCTCTCCCGCCTCAAACAACATACTACAGTATTTTTACTGAGAAAGAAAACTGAGGGCAAAGTAGACAAATCTGCGTGTGAAACTCAAAATAAAGTAAATGTACAACTGTTCAAGTATGAAAAAATACAGTCCCACAGCAAATAATGCCATTAGGGTGTGAAGTGTTAGGTGTTTTTAACTCTAAGATCAGTGGTTCTCAACCCTCCCAATGCCTCAATGCTTTAGTACAGTTTCTCATGTTATAGAGACCCCCAAACATAACAATATTTTGGTTGCTACTTCATAACTTCAGTGAATATGTGTTTTTTGATGGTCTTAAGTGACCCCTGTGAAAGGGTTGTTCAACCCTCAAAGAGGTTGTGACATACAGGTTGAGAACCGCTGTTCTAGACAAAGTTTAGATGTAACTATGATTACGCTACCTTGGGGGAGGTTTCACACCTGGCAACACACTGAAGCAAAGACCTGCAACCAAAATGAATTGCAAAATTTCAGTAAATGTTCACTTTTATATCAATTTTTCTTCTTGAGCAAACCAAGCCAGCGAGGTTCACTGCAGCAGGTATCACCCACCTCCATTATCTCTGTGATGGTCTTGCTTTTCCAGTTGGTGATGCCAAGTATTTGTAGGTCTGCATGAATTTTACTTCTTCACTGTCTTCTTAGTTTTGTGGTCTACTTCCAATCAGCTCTTTCATGTATGCAGTTTTTGTCTCATTGTTGACTGAAATTGTCTCTATATGCCCCAGCCATAAAAGTCTATTAGCCTCACAATACCAGTAATTAATGGTAATTTAAACAGATTATTAATTGTATTGTTGTTTCTCATTCTCTGTATTCTATTACTTTCATCTTTGATGGAATCTCAGTGATTTAGATTTGTCTTTAACATCTCACTATCTTCCTCTTTCTTCACTCCCTTGCAGTTTGAATTAAGAATCAACATCACAGCCCTTGGGACACTCCCATTAGTGCTTTGTCGCCTATCTTTAATGGCAAAAGCAAAGTTCAAATTCTGATGTCATAAATAGTCTGATTGTATATCTCTCTTGCCTTTCCCTTAAGTGTTCAGCATCAGCCAGATACCCTGGACATCTCCTGCAGCACCATTCTCTTCAGACAGTGAAAATCTATTTGTGCCTCTGCAATGTTCACTCACACCCAAATAACCCTTACAACATCTACCTGTCATGCATCAATTTACACCAGCTGGTGCAGAACCAGCCAGTCTATCTGTCTGTTCATTTCATAACACACTGGCATGACCTAGAGAAATATCCAAAGGACATTAACTACCCAGGACCTTGCTTGCCACTCTGCATGAAGCATGCCTGCCTCCACCTTTCTCAACATGCTGAGTCAGTTACAATATGAAATGTGTGTACAGCTGGTTTTCAAACCAGTGGAAGGCTTCAGCGACTGCCTCCACCTCCATTCTCAAATTAGATGTTGTGGTATCATTCACTTTTTCTATGAGCACTTCTTTTGCTTCTCATCTGTATAGATAATCACATCACCTGGGTGGGCATTGTCTTGAATCATTTGTTAAACCATGATGCGGCAGCACCCAGGGACCAGTCCCTGCACTCAAGGCTTAATGTGATTAGTACCCAACACAAGTCACCCTGTTGTTCAGGCACTATGACCTGCTCCACTCCTCGCACAATAGCACTATCCTCAGTTAGAGCAGATCCTCAACCAATGTATGCCTCATCTTTTGCCTTCTTCTACAGCCCCCCCACATAATCGAGTAGCTGGTATTAACAAAAGATTTTTTTAAAGTAGAACACAATGACTGATGCTGTGTTTGACATCAGGATAATGACAAAGCTCTGAAGCATCAAATAAAATCAGGTCAAACTACTTGAGCTTTGAACCAGTCAAACTAAACAGGTAAAATACATGTTCTGAAAAGGCTAAGATACAAAGACAACTTGTATTACAAATAGCAGAAATAATGAAGAAAAAGAACAAATAAATGATTTATGGAAAGAAAGATAGAAGGCATGAGAAGATTCTTGATGCCATGTACATTGCTGTCTATATTTTTTTAAATTATGGGTCATCTTTAATTTTCTGTAAATAAATAAATACAAGCTAAGTGTTGACAATGCCCAAGGATAACAATAAAGTTCACTCCAAATGAAACATGTGCTCACCATGAGCTTGCTTGGGTCCATGGTAAGGGTCTTGTCCAATTATAACAACTTTCACCTACAGAATAATTAGATGAGAAAGTTAGAAGTTGTATACGTACAGTGGCATATCAAGATACAAATGTAATCAGTCCCATTTCAGAGCTCCTATGGTGAGTAAATCATATCCTGAAACAATTTTTTTAATCAAAATTAATGTAAATAATTTTAATTCTTTTCAGCCCTCCAAAAATCACCCCATTACTTTCACAATGACATTTTTTATTTCAGTTAACAAGAAAAATGTGTGGCACTGCTTTTGTTTTTTGTCCGCAGTGGAAAACGGAGTTACTTCCAGCAATGATGATACAGTGCATCATCATCAAGTGCCATGTCGAATGATTTAAGTCCTCCTTCAGCAATATTAACGTGATCTAATTCATTTAAAAGTTATTGAGAAGCAGTTGGGTAATGCAGAGAGTTCTCATCTCTCCAGCTCGCATCATGGATTTCATCTTGTGTTCTGGGGTTAATCTGAACATCAAGGAAGATTGGCTAATAAACAGCATCTTGTCTAGGAAGCTGAAATATTTTGGCTATATCAAGCGCCGCGGCGAATTAGACAAAAATTATAGCAGAAGGCGTGGTACCAGTAAGAAGGGCCAGGGGCTGACCAGCAGAAAGAAGGGCACAGTGACTCCTTGAATTTGAAAGTACATGAGGTGGGAGGGCTGACGAGAGACCGAGTTTCTTTCAGGCAGATCGTGATGACAGCGATGCTCTGCAAATGGCCTTCTACATGATGATGATTCTGGGGCAAAATGGCGAGCCTGATCTTGTATCCTGAAACACTCGTATACTGGTGGTTCACTGTAAATCGTTTATAGTACATTTAAAGCAGCCCTAGCACATTTTTTTTAAACGTTCAGCAGTTTGTCATAGATTCCTAAATGGTTGATGCTCCTTACAAATGCAATACGGTCTGCTGCCAAATAACTTGCAGCTGAATCAAACCGGAAATGACAAAGATTTTCAAAAGTATTCATATATTTGAAAACACAAAATATTACAAGGACATCAAAAAACTTGAATACCATCAGTGTCTTGCTGACGGATATAGGCAGTCATGTTTCTCCAAAACTTGCAATCTTCAAGTGCTAAGTACAAAGTCACGTAATAACACTTTTCTGTGCTGTGATGAAAGACCATCCTTTTACCCCCAGTCAATATGGAGGATAGACAGGTTTACTGTTTTTAGTCATGGCAAGATTTGCTTCAAACAACTGCTCGCCATTGCCTTTTCTTCCATATGTAGACTGAAAAAATAGTTTTGCCGCCCAGCTACTGAGTGCATGGTGCAACAATGAGTTGCAGATATTTAGAATGCTTTTCAACTATGCCCAACTTGGTCTGTGTTGTGAACTGTAGATTCAGAAAATGGTGAATGGCCTGTTACCACAGAACTGACACAGCCTTGTGTAATTAATCTTGTCAACTACTGATCTGTTGTAAATACTGCTTCCATCTATGATGAACTGCTTTTCTAGTGTCAGATTGTTTGTGTTGGCACTTCTGATGACTGTCATATGCATTTAATGCATGTGCATAATACTGAATTTGCTGAGACCGCTGTCTGTATATTTTCCCAGAAAAGACAGTGATGGACATACTGTGTGGTTTTCATCGGAACAGGATTGGAGCAACTATGGGGCGACCCTTTTGCTACGAAGCTGGAACTCTGACTACCTGATTATTTCTCTTTCCATAAACCTAACCAGTTGTCACAACATGTTCTAGTCTTATTTCTCATAATAAGTAAAGTCAAGGTTCCTTTTCCACGCCTTTAGGCAGATTGAGAATATAGGGCTAGACCTATATTTGTATAGAATAATCGACACTTGGTGGGTGATGTGGTCAGCATCACGTCGGCTACCTTTACTTCTCAGGACTGCACCTGGTACCCACTCAAGGCTGTGTCAACCTGGGAGTCAGGGTCATTTTTTAAAGAAAAAAAAAGTCCGGCTTCATCAGGACGCAAACCCACAACCTTCCAAACCGCAGGGGGGCGTCTAGCTGCCAACGTCGCGGCGACTCCCTTATTTCTCATAATGTGTTCGCAGTTCGCAAAAATGATGACTGTCTCTGTCACTTTCTTATGTTTGTGATAAGGTGTCTTCATATATTAGCCTCTTTCAAAATATTTAGATTACTCATGTTAGCTTTTGACGGAAATTTTTCTGTGGAGCTACATCTCTCAAGCTTACAGGGATTTTCTTTCTAGGTGACCTATAGTCCAGAATTCACAGCCATATGTTACAATTTGCATATGGGAAACATATAGGAATTATTTTTGTAATCCCATACAGTAGGGATTTATTGCATTAAAGAAAATGATTTGATTACTGAAAAATAAAAATCTTCACCTTTGTTGCTTCGCGCTAAATAAAAAGCCACCCAAACAAAGATAAAATAAACAAAATTTGTAATATTTTTTACTGAATCCCATAAGCAAGAAAAACTGTATTTGGTAGTTATTAAGTTTTCAAAGATAAGTGTTAAGATATATTTTCTTTTTATTCAACAAGAGAAACAAATGTGTCAGGTACTGTAATTCTTCTTCTTCTTTTGCATTTTCTAGCAGTAAACTCCAGTTTGTGCACAGACTGTTGGTATTTGCCTGTTGGGCAGATGCACTCTGACTCTAAAGAAAATATTGATCCTATTTACAATGGCCACAACCCTTGTAGAGAATCTTTTCTAAGGGATGACCATCAACAAGTACAGATAAGTCTTAACCTATGTGAGCCTTGGTCCTAGCGCACCAGGGCAGCTGACTGTTCACCTATGCATCCCTTAATATAATTCATGATTACAAACTACTGCAGATTAAGAACTTGAACTTACTGATCTTATATCACAGGCTGTTGTCCATGTGAAGACATGTTCTGGTGGAGGATATATTGTACTCTTTTCCCTTTCTGTGGCTATAAACTGACTCAGCTGTAAGAAAAAAGATAGGAAAGAACTAAGAAAAAATACAGAAACATATGTCTGGCATTAAACTGTGCAATATTACGTGTGTCCTCATTATTTAAATAGGCAGTCATAGTTTACATCTGTGATTCCCAAACTGCGCGACGCGGTGCCCCGGGGAGCCACGACCTCTTCACAGCAGTGCCGCAAAATTTAGAAGATACAAAAGTTGTTTTTTTTAATTGTTTTTTTTTTTAATCTTTTACATACGAATAGTCATACTTTTACTTAGGTTAGGGCGTCATGGAAAAATTTAATTGAAAAAAGGCGCCCCAACTAAAAAAAGCTTGGGAAACACTGATCTACACAGTAGAAAAATTTGAAAATACAGCACACACTTCAACACTGGCAGTGCTGCGTAACATACAAACCTTAGAAAAATATTCTTTTGAAAATTCTGCTTCCAAGGCTGTAAACCAGGATGGACCAATATTAACAACCAGCCCATTAGTTTTGCTCTTTAGCAACTTCAGTTTTGCTGCTATTTTATTTTGTTCTATGCGATCTTGTTCTGAATTTAACATTTTACTGGCTGTGTCCAGATCCTTCACATCTGAATCCTTTTCAATAGTTTTGCTTCTCTTGATAGGGGGTTTAGCATAACTACCAGCTGCAGTTTCATCAACATGTCCCTGTAAGAAAAGATTAGAATAAAATTACACTAGAATGTTGATGAAATAAAGAGATGTAAGCAAAACGTATCACCTTTAACTTCTACCTTCTTGTTTATACATAATAGGGATCTTACCCCTCGCCCCTCACTTTTAGACAGTGTCATACATTCCTTACTTACACCAGACTGCAGGTAACATGAGCATAATACGTACATGTATATGGGATCTACCCTGTTGACCTGTGACTCTTGAAGTCGCAGGGGTGGTAAAACCTTCCGATAGAAGACTGAGGGGGGGGGGGCAGAATTTTTTTTCCCAATAATGATGAAATGAGAGCCAATTGTGAATCAAACTATTACATTATCTTAATTTATCGCCGTTGTTGTAACCGATAACAGTATTCTCCACAGAGCCCTTCTGTATGCTGTCTTTACTATTTCTTGTAAAAACCTCTCTACTGCAATCAGCTTTAATTGTTCTCTCTCTCTAAATATTGTATCATATCACTTCTTTATCTTAGATAATACTACTTTCTATTATCTATAATTCCTAACTTCACAGACACATAAAGCATGCTGACAAAAGTGGAAAAAGTCATTTAACATGCAAAGTGGCAAGCACTGGTTCTGAGGTCCTTGGTAGTTAGTGTTCTCTGGATGATTTCTTTGGAAATGCAGATGTGATGGGAAACAGACAGACAGACAGACTGGCTGATGCTGCACCACTGGGTGGTGAAATGATGCATGGCAAGCCAGATGCAGTCAAGGTCCTTTGTGAGCAGCTGAAAAAATGTGAAAGCACAAACAGACCTAAAGAGCATAGTTCAGTTGATCTTCACTGACCAGGGGTTCTGGCCACCATTTTATAATCAAATGAAAAGCAAGATGAATATATAATCAAACTGATACTGGTACCATCAGTACTTGAACTCTTGGCTGGCTGCTGAAGATAGTGACAGAGCACTTATGGGAATGTTCAGAGTAATGTGATGTTGATTCTTAACAGAATGTAACCTCCTAGGCTATTCTGCAATATCATACCAGCTAAGCATGTAGCACTTTGAGCTTAGCTATAATGCAAGTCTGTAATCTAGCAATTTATTTTTTTTTTTTTTTTTCTCTATTTCTCAAACTCTGACACTAATTCACTCACAAAAAATTCATCTCTGCTTAAAAAAATGTTTGTAACTAAAATAAGGTTTCATCCGTTTTTGAAAAAAAAAAAAGCAAAAAAAACTACATAAATATAATTGGAATATATAGTTTAAAGATAGTGTATTAAATTGGTATAAAGTATAAACTTCACTGATCACAGCACAAGATACGTATTTAGGATAGACCATATAGTGGGTATTCACCATGTGGGTTGCGAAACATATGAGGTGGGGGAAGGGGGGGGGGGGGGGGGAGTGGAAGAACAGACACACTGCTCCACTAACAAGCATGTCATAAAAGTCAACTAATTAGAGGTCTCTTTTTTGAATTTGAGTGCGCCTGAGTGGCCAGGAGCCAGCAGTCTGCAAATAAGCCAGATCTGTCAAACAGAAGTGCATGTAAAACTCAGATTCTGGAATAAGAGTCAAAGTCTAGAAGTTGAAGATCAACTAGAATTTTCTGCTGGAGTTTACACCAGGGAATACAAAGAAGAAGAAGATACAGTAGGTTCTCTATGACAGTTGTTTTGTCTGTCATCAACCCACGGTTTTATGTACTGCCAATGATTTCTTCTTCTTCTTCTTTATCTTCGTGTTCACCAGCTGTAAACTCTGGCGGAAAGTTCTGGTTGTTCATCCACTTCTGGACTGCAGTCCTGTTCCAGAACCTAAGTAATGTGTGTGCATCCATTTTACAGATCTTATTCATTTGTATGCAGACTGCTGGTTCCTTGCCTCTCAGGGAGATGCACTACGACTTTGAAGGAAGCTCCCAGTTAGTTGACAACATGCTTTTGGGTAGGCAGTGGATCAATTCTTGTTTTCTCTATAACTGGGCTCGGAACCCACACGAGAATCAATGATTTCTTAAACAAATGGTTTTTTAATGCCATGAATAGAAACTATCTAAAAGCTTCTTTCTTGGTATTCTTCTGTATCTCTTCCCCTCCAACTTTCATGTCACAAATACTACACTTACTATTACTACTAGTAGTACTACTGTTTTCGGCTATCCTCCGAATAACGGCTGGGACTCACGAGCAAATAAAATGGAGGAAGCTGCATGAGATGCGGTAGCCGCTGCTCGTGAGTCCCAGCCATGTAGTTTAGCCCTGCTTCGTGCCAAGATACTCTCGGCAGTGACTTTAACTCAGCAGAAGCTTTTTCGCTGTATGCTGTGTAGTTGCCGGAAGTGGTCCTAAATTCACATGTGACTGAGGCCCTGTTTAGGTATATTTCGGCCTCCATAATTTGGGACCGTTATTCGGAGGATAGCCTAGTTTTCCCTTCTTATGATGTGCCCAAATATAAACTGATTTCTGTCTCGAACCACACAACCATTTAATTTTGATTAATTACGTGTTCTGACATGCTTTAACCCCCACCCCGTTTTCCTTCCCTACCACTTTGAAAGAAATCCCCTGGTAGTTTACAATTTCTGTGCGTTGTTAGAGCCCATTCCTACAAGTACAACTACAATGCATTCTCTGCACAGACTGGTTGGGCATTTCTTTAACCTTAAAAAGTTGTGAAGAATAATATTGCCAGACATAAATTAAATAACCAGTGTCACCAAATTGCACAGACATTTTCTCACTAACTATTTAACAAAACCATAGTAGCTTTCGTAGCACGACAAATTTTCTAATTTAAATTTAAGGCACTGACTTACATTTGTTAGGCTTTTACTTTTATCAACGTCTGCTGTTGTGATATGATCAGCTCGTGTTCGTTTCTGACCAGAGGGCGACTTAAAAAACGCTGATATTTTACTCTGAGACATGGTGAAATATAGCTTACGTTGCAGCACGGCTTTGTTTGTAAGCCAAAGAAATGTCTGAGTGACACAAGCTTTCATAAATAGCTGCGAAAGCGGGTTCGACGGACACAAACTGTCATAAATAAGCGGCAGACCTCAGCCATTCAGAATGGGAATAGTTTCAGAGTTCCCTCCACTGGGCTAAATATAGAATAGGGAATTTCCCGCAACTTGACATCCAGCATTGGAGAAATGTCGATAATTCATAGGCATAAATACCGATTATTAAAACAAAACACACAAAAATCTCTATATATTCCAAATATGGGCTGAACATGATATTGTTGCTTAAATTACTACTACTCTGCAGAGAGACGGATAGTACAAAACCACTGAACTGAACTGAATTTCTACCCCACCAGGACATCACACAAGCGATAAACACCCGATGACACAAAGTGCCACCATGTGGATGAAGATCGCCGTGGAGAGGTCCCAGAAACCGCGTTCAGACATTTGGCCATATATATGGCCTGCCTATATTGCGGCCCCTGGCAAAAGCCAGAGTAGGGCTTCAAATGACAAAAAAGTTCGTCCTAAAAAGGACGAAATACGGAAAAGAAAGGAAATAGAGTTAAATGTGGAAGGTGTGGTGCAGATCCAGCCAATCCGTCTGCCTTTTCAAGACCCACTACGCTGGCATAGCCTGGAGAAAAGATCCAAAGTATGCTCACTACCCGTGACCTTCTAAGCGAAGCTTGTCACTTGCTCGAAACATCCATGTCTTCACTTTTCTCAGCATGCTTTCAGAGTCTGTTACAATTAGGAAATGTGAATGCATCTTGTTCTCTAGACGTCGGAGAATGGCAGTTACCGCCTCCACCTCCATTCAAATGCTAGATGTTGTGATGTCGTATGCTATGCTGTCTTGCACTTACTTTCGTTGGGAACACCAGGCACTTCACTTTCCTCTCAACACCGAACCATCTGTATAAATAATCAGATCACCTGGATGTTAATTGTCGTGAATCAACTGTTGGACTTCCACATCCGTAGCACTCGTTGGCCACTCTCTGCACTCGCTGCCCAATGTGATCATAACCCTACACAAGTCAGACTTTTCCTCTGGTACTCTGACCCACTCCTCTCCTCGCCCAATGTTCTCCAGCGTGCATACAATTTTTTCCTTTTCAGCCTCTGACCCTTATCCCTTGCCTGCAGCCAAAGCTTCATACAGAGTGTGTTCAGCACCTTTAGCCTACCTGCAATAGTCGGCAATGCAACGATATATCGCATTCACACAGTCGGGGTGTTTCTTGTACATCCCAGGATCACACGCATTACTTCATTCTGGATGCGCTCCAGTTTCTCTAGCTAACTCTTCGAGACAGTGAGTAACCCCAATCCATAACCAGTCACTGAGATTATTAAGTGCTGGTAAAGTGTGAAAGGCATGCTCTGCTCCATGTCCATAATCTGACATAATCTTTAGTGCAATAAGACCTTTTTTGAGCCCTTGTCACAACCCCCTCTATGTGATCCTTGAAAGACAAAGTCCTGTCAAAGGTGATACCCAGGTACCGCAGTCTGTTGTCTCTTTTGATGTCCCTGCCATTTATTTTGAGTCTCTGAACATCCGCTCGAACTGTCTTGTTGTCCAAAGAACACCACAGGACGGTTGCCATTTCTGGGTTGATTACAGCAATCATCGCCTGTAACTCTTGACCTATTTAATCCCGATTTCTCCCCATCCTATGTACGAGAAAAGCATCTGCAGATGTCAATATTCTGCCAACTCCAGGTGTTTCCAGGTATGCAATCTTGCACGTAAAAACATTGAAAAGCACAGATAAATTATAGATTCCTGTGGTAGTTTTGGAGCTATATTACATGGCTTCAGAGGTCCATGAACCCAGTCGGAGAGCTACCCGGTGAGTAAACAAAACGGCTGATATCCAGTTCACCAACCAAGGACAGACTCTCTTCTCCGTAAGCGCTTTCATCAAAATACTCTGTATTTGACTCTTTTGTAAGCATCTTCTAAATCAAGTGCCGCTGCCATCGTTTCCTGTCTGATCTGGAAACCTTAAAATGTGTCAAAGGCAAAAGTGGCTGCATTTGGCCATGTGTTTTCACCTGGCCGGTAACTTCCCAAACCTTCTGGAAGAAGCTTTCTCTTTTCAAAACATTTGTGTAGCTTATCCGCCACTATCTTCTACAACACTTTACCAAAGGTGTTTTGTAGGGTTATGATCCTAAAGCCTCCGAGTGTTGAATGATTCTTGCAAGGCTTAGGAAGTGAAACCAGGTAGCTGTGCATCCACTCTTCTGGGACTGAAGCTGTTCTAATGCTCTGGTTGAAGCAAGCAGTCATCTTCAATAGGTCTGCATCACTCATGTCTTTTATGTGGAAATATCTAACCCCGTCGGGCCCGGGCGCCGTGTCTTTCGCCCTTTCAGAACACGTTTTACATCTTCCACCTGTAAGATGTCTTCATAATGTTTGTTCTTTAAGATGTCTGCCAGATCTTCTCTTACTGTATCTCTGTTATCGCCATCTGTCCCAATGTCGTATCGTCCGCAATTTCATTAATACAAGGTTTCAATTTTGCTTGTTTGGCCTCTGCTGCACAACGCTTGAAAACCTCTATCCTATCTTTCTTATCTCTTTCCGCGCACTCCATTTCCTCCTGCGTGCTTAGGCATATTTGTCGCACTTTCTTTAATCGTTTTACTTCAGCTCTCTTTAACTTCATGCCTGTTCTACCTCTGATGTCCACCATGGAGGCTGTACAAAAGTGGATCTGAAATTCCTCTTCCATGCCCTCTGAGGGAGGCGTCCAAGAAGGGTGTTTGTCCACTCATATTTGAAAGGCCAACGAGTTTTTGAAGCCTGAAAGAGGTGAATAAAATGCTCGAAAAAAATAACATCACAAACTTCAGGAGGCATCATTTCATTAGAAGGGAGGGGGGGGGGGGGAAGCTATGTTATGAGAAGTGTGAAAATGCAACATATTGTGACCACTGGAAGGATTTTTTTGACAGATAGAGAAAGCCGGCGTGATTCTAGACAGTCTTTTGTCATGTCATGGAGAGTTGTGTCAGCACACGAACTGATACTCGCAGTTGCGGATCGTAGACTGTGAAAAAGCCTGATCATCCACGCCAGCTGACAAGGCACTTGATGATGATGAACGAAATCGATCCTTTCGACTTTACGACAATCGACAGAAGCAGTGTTGCCACTTTGGATGTTTTACATCCAAACATCCAGATCTAGATGTTTTCATTTGCATCTAGATGGTGTTTTTGACGTCTAGATGGTAGATGTAATTCTAGAAGTTTTTAATTTGGAGTTAGATATTTTACAGATTTTTTTTTCTTTCAGTGTCAGTTTAATAATTACTGTATGAAATATTTATTACACATTTGTTTGTTTTGGTCTGGGCACGTACATTGTAGTAACTGCATTTACTTAAACTTTGAACTCACTGGGGTCAACGCTCAACGATCCGGCAGCCCCAATACTGATTAAAAGCAGGCGTAAATCATACTTTGTTTGAACTGTATCCTCACTGTGTTGTGAATTATAGCTATGATGCTCACTTTGTGGTTCTTTTTCATGTGATTTTCAATTGCTGATCTTCATATGTGTCTTCCACTTTTCAAAACTTTTCAACATGCCTAAAGGAAAGCAGTATGACACAAATTTCGGAAAGAGTGGCTATATGCTGACATTACTAAAGACTGGGTGATGACAGTTTATGGGAATACATCTGAGGCTCGTTTAAGTACTGCAAGTGTGAAATTAAAGCGAAAATACAAGACTTAAAATAAAAAGTTATGCAGAGACTAAAAAGCATAAAATTGCAGTTCCATTCAAAGATATACCATTGATATCTTTTCCAGAACTACACCAATTAATGAATCATCAAAAGTTGAATGATCTGTCGCAATATTTTTAAGTTGTCATTGTGCAATTTCGAATTGTACCATTTGATTGAATTGTTTAAAAGCACTATTTCTGACAGTAAAGATACTGATGACGTAATAATACATCGCAAGTGTACACATATTATAAGAAATACTTTATTTTCTCACTTTGAAAAAAAAGATTTGATCTGTGATATTTCTACAAATAAATATATTTTTTTAGACGAATGGAATGACATCTCTGTACTGAAAGTGCTTAGTATGTGTAGTTTCTACAATATCTTGGACTAGTTTAAATGGAAACGTGTGATGCAGAAAGTATAGTTCAGGAACTAACAAAAAAAAAACATTTGATCAGTTAGCAATTAGACTTGAAGAATTCGGCTGCAATTGGTACCGATAATGCTTCGATGATGACTAATATCAACAATGGCGTTTTATGCCAAATTGAAGGAAGATATCTCATCTTTAATCCTTATAAAATGTGTGGGTGTCATTCCTTGCAGCACGCATTATCACATGCTGTCAAGGACCTTGTATCCATCCTATTCAACTACAGCTCGTTTTAAGGCCCCGTGACAGACACACTATCAAAGAACACACGTAGAACACACACCTATTGAGTACACACATAATCTTTAATGTACAAAGAGCAATTCAACCTAAAGCAATCTCAACAGTTATGGAGAGTCCCTAATCCGAAACGCCAGCAGTGGCAGCATTTATATTTACTTATCCGCCCCGAGGCGTTCCCATGGATGTACCAGAGGACTCGATTCCACCTCACTGTCGTACAGCGCTAACTAGGCTGCGGTCCTCGCCATGCGAGACTCGGCGGCAAACGCAGGGTGAGTGATTCAAGTATTAGCGGGCAGTGTTAACGCTAGCACCAAACACAGCTAAACTCTAATAACCCATAGACAAGAACAACTACAAACCTACGCATGACACAACACCAACACAACTGTCTTAGAATACTATAAGCACACGAGAAATACCAACAGCTAACCAACACATATTACGACAACGCTAACAGTCCCTATCTTTCAACTCCTAACACAATACAATCTATAATGTCTCTCTATGTCTTCAGCCTCACATGTCAATGTCCAACGCTCGTCTTCTCTCCTCGTTCAGCTTTGGGTAAAACGTGTATGTAGTACCAA